ACGACAGGGAAGTGTGTTATTTCACATATCAGGATGCACCAAGAGGAGCCAGGGGTAGCTTGGCTAGAACAGTAGCTCAATCAGGTCACCTAGGACCAGACTCTTTCCATCTACTCGGCTATCCTTGATGAGGGCTTCACTCTTAGGCTCTCATGAGATGAAGGCAGCGGTTCCCAGAATCCTATGCAGCGACAAGCAGAAGCCGTTCTCTGCCCAGCCGTCCTCTCACAGCTCCTTGGCTATGATGGGCCAGGGCATGGGGCCACAGTGGTTGGCTTATTCACTTCCTAGGGCTGCTATAATAAAGTGCCGTCCACTGGAAAGCTGAAAGAAGCAGAAATGTATTTCCTCACACCTCAGGAGGTTAGAAGCCCAAAGTGAAGGGCCTGCAGGGCCATGGTTCCCAAAACTCTGGGGGGACTCCTTCCTTACCTCTTCTCGGCTCCATGGCGTCTGTTCCAGCACTCCCTGACTCCTGGGTGCATTATTCCAGTCCTCTGTCACCAAACAGCACCCTCCCTCTGTCTTCACACCATCTTCCCAGTGGGCTTGTCTGTCTATGCCCAACTTCCCCCTTTTTATAAGGACGTCCATCCCATAGGTTAAATCCCACCTTAATGACCTCATTTCAACTTGATTACCTTTTTAAAATCCTTATTTCCAAATAAGGTGACGATTCAAAGTACTAGAAGTTAGGATGTTGACATATCTTTTATTCAGCACATAACCCTTGCTCAGAACACTAATCTGAGGGGAGCAGAGGAGAGAGGCATACTGCTTCCCTCGGTCCTCGGATGAATGAACGGGTGCATGGATGGGTGGATGGATGGATGGATGGATGGATGGGTGCGTGAGTGAATGAACACAGTACATGGGCCTCATACAGAGCCCAGTGCTAGCTCTGCGGTGGGGCTGGGGAGTAATTTTAGCCCTGGAACTTACAGAGAATATTTGGGCACTTGTGCCTTCTGCTTCTGACAGATTGTTGATCACAGTTATGATTTATCTCCAGCTGAGTCTTTGGTCAGGAACACAACCCCTCAGGGAGAACAAATGCTGTTCCTCTGGGAAATTCTGATGGTTTGTGTTATGACATGGTTGCAGGGAGGGCACTGTGGTGAAAAAGTCCAGCCTGCTTAGATAGACACTCAGCAAGAAGCCACCGTACCCCGCTGGCACACAAAAATCATTATCACCCTGGCAACTGCAGGACAGAACTGGCTACCTAGCAACATGGCCCTGCTTCCCCTACTGTCCTCTTTCCTTCTGACCTGTGGGGCCTTTGAATGCCTACTCCCCTCCAAGGCAGATCTGTAGGTGGGACAATGGGAATTCATTTGGAGGAGGAAGAGAATTCTCATGGGGTTCTGTTCTCTGACCGTGCTGGTGTCTTATTGTTCCAGAATCTGTTTATGTTTACTCTGCCCCTAAATGTACTGCACTCTTCTTAGCAGCCAGCATTAAAATTTGCACCAATACTGAAAGTCCTTTCAGATTCAGGTCTCCATGCCATACAGCAGGCACTAAATTGCTAACTTAGGCCCTTTGTTTTTATTTGTTTTGCAGTGCTGGGAATGGGACCCAGGCTTTGTGCATGCAAATGCTCTGTTACTGAGCCATATACCCAGCCCTACACCCGAGTCCTTTTGAGGAGGTGGAGGGTGGAGTAGAGTGGAGGCTTCAGAGTCCCCCTGGGAAGCTCCAGAGTCAAAAATAAACCACTTAGCCAGGCGTGGTGGCACACGCCTAGAATCCCAGCACTTGGAGGCTGAGGCAGGAGGATCATTGCAAGTTTGAGACCAGGATGGGCCACAAAGTGAGCTCAAGGCCAGCCTGAACTGAGACCCTGTCTCAAAAAGACAAAACAAAAACAAAAATAAAAACAAAAAGCAAAAAAAACTCTTTAGTCTCTTAATTGCAGATTCATTCCAGCAGATCAGTTCTCTCCACAGAGAGCTAGCAGTCAGTCACTTTATATTTAAGGACAGGTGTTAAGAGCAGTCAATAGGGGAGAGAAGCAGAAACAGAAATCATTTTGCAGCCTGGGTTCTTTGAGGGGGGAGCGCAGACTCACACTGAAGTGGGGGGCTGTAGGGGCTGCTAAGTCATAGAGGAAATGACACAGGCTTGGAAGCAGGGAAACACCAGACACCTCTGTAACTCTGCCCAGAGCAGGGACATGGGAAGCCAACTGTCCTTCCACCCGTGGTTAGCTTTGCCGGCTGGACAAAGTCATTTGTATGTGTCCAGTAGCAGCGCCTTCTCTTGGACTTGCTCCTTCTCCTAGTCCATTGTGTCACCGTCTACCCGCCCTGTCCTTCATGCCTGTCATTGGGTCATGCCTATTTTACTTCCTTAACGTGGGCAGAGACCTTCTTTTCCTCCCGCCTCCATGGCCAGCACTCCCTTCTGACCCGTGTGCTCTCCTCCCACCTGGCTTTCTCTGTCTCCAGCTCATGCTCCACCCTCCCAGAGGCCTTGCTGATGTCTGGCGCCATTTTTGTGCAGGGCCTTGTTCCACGCTCGCTAGCCTGCTCTTGCCAGGAGGCTGCCTGCCCCTGTGGGCTGTGGCGATGGCCTCCTGGGCCTCTGGCTGGGATTGGCGAATGGGCAGCACCGGCGGGAGCTCAGGGGTGGGGAGAGAGAGGTCTGGTATCTGCCTGGCTTCCTCACTGTGGAGTTACCACAAGTAACGGCCACAGCTCCTCTCAAGGTGACCTTCACGTGATTCAGCAACTGCACCTTCTTAGGCTTTCTGTCTGAGAGTCTTTGCATTACTTGCTCTGCACATCGTGCTATTCGCAGTGGTTGTGCTGCCTAACCTTAGGAAACAGTCCCTCATTTAACACTCCTCCAGTTATCCTATCTGAATGAGGCTTCTTTTTGTGCTGGGTTCCCCAAGGATTCAGTTCTCCTCCTCAAAACCCTCAGTGGTTCCCACTGACCTTTAAAGTAAAGTCCAGGTTGAGGATTGTGGGATGCGAGGTCCCTTGTCACACAGCCTGATTCTGCCCCTGACCAGTGAGTCATTTGCAGTTGCTCCCAGTTACCTGCACTTCTACACATTGTTTCTTGAGTCTGTATCTCTCTTCCTCTCTCCATGCGTCTCTTCTAAAGCCTCAAGCAAAAGTGCTGCTGGATAGCAGAGGGTCTGGGAGTTGGTAAGTTCTCAAAATACGTCATCAGCGAATCATCATGAGTGGGTAGATGATGAGTGAGAATTTTTGGAAGTCTCTCACTTTTACTCCAGGTCTGATATCATGCATGCTTGTGGATCTATGCAACTGATAATGAAGGAAAAAGATTTCAAACTAATGTAAACCCTGGCACTATCTAATCTTCTCCCTAACCTTTCAGGGATGAATGGCAAAAGGAAAACAAAGCTTCTAAGCACAAATCAGCACCAGGTTATATAATCCTGATCAAAGCTGGTTGAGGAGCACAGGCACAGTCCCCATCAGGCTGTCTCTGCTGATTCCTGGATGAATCACTGCTGGAAAGAATAGAGTGGAGATGTTCTAAAGCACCAGACATGTAATCAGTGCGAAAATCCTTCCCTGGAGGCATCTCACTCTGTAACCATTCCCCTGCTGTGAGCTCTCCTGAAGCGCAAGCTTTAGCCTGCAGCAGCAGGGCTGGGGGGAAGCCCAGGCCAATTGGGAGGTCTCACCTGCTGGGGAGGGGTCCCTGGGACCCGGGGTGCCCCCATTCATTCACTGGGGCTCTTTCCATTCAGGTATGAGCACCTCCCCTTCCCATAGCTCTGGGCCTGGCTGCTGAAGAATCATGTCTGGGAAATTCACAAGAACCTGACTAGTGGGTCGCTCTGGGAAAGGTGACTGAGAGAGAGGTATTAGCTCTTCCATTTTACACTGTTTTGTGTAAACAACATGCAGAGGTGTGATTTTGAAAATGCCAAGGAGGTCATTTACCACTTTTGGGCCACTTGGGTTTTTCAGTCTTTGCTGCATTGAACAAACACACAAACAGAACCCTCAGGGGTGTAGGTCAGTAGTAGAATGTTTGCCTGGCACGCCATGTGCAGGGGCCCAGGTTCATCCCTAGCACAACACAAGATGCCTCATACGTGTTCTTTAAAACCTTTGCAGCTACTATAGCTGTAGGAATTGTCAAGGTAGCCTTGAATTCAAATGTTCTGTCCCTCTGGTCTCATATATCACAGAAATGTGCCAGGAATTCCAGCAACACCTACCTGGAAGTGGTGCTCAACCTTAAATCAGACCTTCTGGCTCCTAGCTTATAGTATAGAAAACACATTCAAATAGTTTGAGTCTAGTAAGAGCATTTTTTTCCTTTCCTCTCTGAGGCTCTCTTCTAGAATAACACTAGACTAATGTTTTTAGGAATCTGAGGATGTAAACATGTCTTTGTAGGGCTCTGTGAAGCTACCAATTCCCAAGCTTGACGCAGTGGTTCACTAGATCCTAGGAACACTCTGGGGCACCTACTGTCCAGGCACAGGGGATCTCTCTCTGAGTTGTCCCTGACTATGGCCTCAGCCTGGACAGCCAGCTTCCATTCCTGTTCCAGAATCTGAGCATTTCCATGTAGCTTCCTCTTATCCCTTCTTAGCAACTACTGACCTCCTAAAGCAGAAATGAGAGAGTCCATAAGCCCGAGCGTGAAGTTATTGTTGGAGCTTCTGGACGAAGTTTCTCCTGGAGCCAGGGCTACCATTATAATTTGTCACAAGTTCATTATTTTTCTTTTTTGGTTTAAAACTATTTAAGTTGGGTGCTATTCAGAGCTGTTCAGTCTGTTCCAGACCTCTGAGACCAGCAGTAGTCCTAAAATCTCCTCCCCCTGCTTGACTTAGGTAGCCAGGAGGACCCGTTATCCCTCCGGCTCCAGACAGTAATGCAAACCAGCGATCAGCCCTGATCAAACCTGCGTCCTGAGTAATCTCTGAATTCCTGCCTGAGGGCCAGAGTCCCACTGCCTTTGGATTGACCTTCAGATGATGACTGCCTACCATGTCCTTGATCAGGTGAGCCTGGGAACCACAGTGAGCTGAGCCCTAGAGAAAGCATACACTGAACTTAGTGGTGGGAGATGCAATAGCAGAGGCCTGAACAATGGTGCAGGAAAAGGGGCAAAAGCACACACGGATGGGCTTCTCAGCAGGAGTTGTTCTTCCTAAAGCTTCTGTGTAGGTTCAGCAGCTCTGACCTCAGGGCTTCCTCTCTCAAGTGTCAGCTGCAGGACCAACAGAGAGAGAGGGCAAAAGTAGTGCAAGCCCTGGGGAAACCATGTATTATCTAGCTAGCCCAACAACTCCACTCTTAGGTATCAACCCTGGAGAAAATGTGCACATTGGTACCAGGATGCATATGTCAAGGACACTCCCATGGGATTGCTTGTAACAGTCCAAACCTGAAAACAGCCCAGGTCTTCATCAGCAGTAGGACCAATAAGTACACCTGGAACACTTGAAATGCAATGCAGTCATAAAGATGGAATTAATGCAGAACAACAGTACACAGTGACATGGGTAAATCTCTTAAACATAACTGAGCAAAGAAGCAACATACCCAGAAACTCTATAACATGATTCTATTCACTTAAAGCCCAAAGCAGTTAAAGTAAAGTGTTTTCTTTCAGGATGCAAACTGAGGTGGTACAACCATACAAAAAGGAAGTTGACACCACAGATGCCTAAGAGACAGGAAGTGCATATAACCGGACGGGGATGTGTAAGGGACATGCAACTGCCGGCAGCATTTCATTTCATGACAGTAGCCCAGGGGTGTTTGCTTTGCAGTTCTTTATAGAATCTGTATGCTTTCTGTACTTTTTAAAAATATATGCATTGATCTTCAGAATTAAAAAGTAGAAGTAGGAGAGGGACTCTTCATGAGGAGATCGGAGAACATGTTATTCTTAGATGCTTAGATTGCTTAGATTCACAAGCCACCACTGTGGTTTCAAAGAAAGAAGTTCTCTGCTTGGTGCTCTCATCCCCACCCTGCTCCTGGATATCCCCCGTGCCCTGGAAATGAGTCTCAAGGCCTCTAGCTCTAGCTGAAGCAAGCTCACCCTTGACTAAACCTGACTCAGCCATCCCCAATGGCGTCTTCTGGGCTCTCACCCTCCCAAGGGTGTAATTGAGTGTGCTCTGTGGGGAGACAGTCTGTAATGACTTTCATAGGACTGAAACTGAATGGAAATAGAAATAGTTGGGCCAGATTGTAGGTGTGCATCACAGCTCAGGAGCAGCCCTGTGATGCCTGGGCCTGGCTGGCACTGGTATACGTGTCTCATGCCTGATTTCCTCCACTTCCTCCACTCAGGGCTGGTATGCATGCCAGCTCTGAGCAGGACCAAAGGTGGCATTAGTTCGTGCACCTTCTCACCAAGGCTATTTCTGAGTGCTTGTTTCCACAGTACGCAGCAGGCAGCCTGGCACGGAGGTGTTCCCTGACCAGCTGGCGTTACATGCTCTTTGCTCTGAATTGGGAAACCTTGAGGTTGGGACTGAGAAGGCCATTGTCACCAAGGACAACCTAGGATCAGTCACCTCTGAGGTTCTCAGACTCTCTGTTTGGAAAGCTCTCCATCTCTGGGATGTAGGCCACCTGGTGACACTATGCAAACAGAACTTCCAACTTCTCTCCATCTTTCTCTGCCGTCCCTAGACAGTTCAGGGTCAGAAACCCAGCACTCAACTCCTTCACTAGTTATTAGTAAAGGTTAATCGACATGCTCAAGGAGGCCAGGGGCCATTAAGAAATGTTGGTGTTCGCTGGAGATTTCCAGCAATGGATTCCTTGGTGCATTCACCATGGTCCAGAGATGAATTCCAGGCCAAAAACAGAATCAGCAAAGGCATGGGGAGAAGGCAAAAGACCATAGTGGGCTAGTTTCTGCCTCCTTTACCATTCCCTGGCCTGAAGTTCCTTCTCCCTCACTGCTCCTTGGACCTGTGGGTACAAGGACTCAGCTCAGATCATCAGAGGAAGCTGGTCAAGTTTTAGGACCACCTATGTGCGGGGAGAACTGAGCTTGAAGGGGGCAGAGCAGTCTGGGAAATCTATAGTAAAGGGGTGGAGGGAGGTGAGGATAGCAGCAGGGAGCAGGAAGGAGCCTTGATTGCTGGCTGCAGTAGACGCCTCCGTTTGTGGTGCAATGAAATCACCGTATATGGCTCAGGAGGAAATTCTCTGCAAGGAGCTGCATGCAAATAGGTCATCAAGTAATGGGAAAAATATGCGGGCAAACAGAGGTGCCTCTGCAGTTTCTGAGTCTCTGAGGACTAAGCATCAAGACTCTAGGAAGCCATAAAGACTCGGGGCTTTATGCCACAGAGGCTGGGGGCCAAGAGGTACTCTCCTTCATCTCCCCAGCCAGTCTCCTGTCTCCCCTGACCACTTCCACTGGGATCTGCCCTCATTCTGACCAGCATCCCCATGTTCCCTGTGGATCAGGCGGGGAGAGGAGATTGCCTGAGACACTCTCTGGTGACTAATGCAGTACTTGAACAGGAAACAGACTGAAAACGGCTTAGGAGGAGCTATAAATACCCCCTGTCCTAAAAAAATCTTTGTTGGGAAGAAATGGAATTAACACACTGGGAGGAGAACAAGGAGATCACAGCCTCCAAGCAAACCAGGCCTTCTTTCTTCTGAGTGAGCTTTCTTCTGAGACAGGGCACCATCTGTCCTCACAGGATCAGCTCTACCAGTCTCGCCCTGCTCTGTCCCCAAGGTGATTCATCACCCCTACCTATGACCAATAGCATGCCCTGAATTGTCTGTGGTTCTGGAGTCCAATAGTTATAGGAACCATCCTGTGAGGACGTTTGTGTGTGTGTGTGTGTGTGTGTGTGTGTGTGTGTGTGTGTGTGTATGTGTAGGATGGAGCACGTGTTATTAAGGCTTAGGGCTTATGGACTCTGAAGGGTCTTGGTTAGCGAGGTTGAGAACTGAAGCAGTAATATGTCAGAAACATCCCTTCTGATTTACCTCAGTTTCCCCCATCCATCATACTGTAGAAATTCTCTACCATCCTGAACCCAGGGAAAGAGTCAGGTAGGAGAATTCCCCTTGGATAGAATGGTGGGCCAACGGATGGGTTCCAATATCAGCCAGGACCCTCCACTGCTGAGCCACATTGGGTAGACCGTTGCCTCTTCTAGGAGGTTAAAAGGTTGATGTGGTCCCATAGACTTCAGATTTTTTTTCAAAGCTGCATGATCTTTCTCCAAAGGAAACCTCCAGAGAGAGAGAGAGAGACCAGAGCTACCCCAGTTAGGGCGGGGAGCCAAAGTTCCTCACACTTACACACACCCATTTCCTTCGTAGTCCCAAGAAACCACTCCATGCCCCAGGGCTTCACAGAACCCTCCTGGGAGACCACAGCTCTAGGGCACTCAACGAGTGGGGATGACCATCCCAGGACTCCTCTGCATGGTGTCTTTTCTCCTTTACCTTCCTCCAAGAGTCTGGAAAGTTATAACAATGAAAAGTAACTGAGTAATGGAGAGTTAACTAGAGATGTCAGCCAAAACAGAAGAGGAAGTCATACCTCACGACTCCTTGTAAACTTCTTAGTAGCTTCACTGGCTACTTTGGTGGGCTGAGTGCAGAAATGCGCACAATTCTCCTTCTCCTCCAGTATCCACACCCTCCGCCACGTGACTCTGTTACACCTGTGCCTTAAGCTTTGCGTCTTCTCTCCATCTCTCTGAGGACAGACCGTTCTAGGTTGGCCTGCTGGGGCACAAGAGGTCACACTGAGCAGCATACAGCTGTCCCAAGGAAGGCTTGGAGCAGGCATTATATTTTCCAGGGACCCTTCTTTCCTGCTCTTGGCCCATCCTCTCGGGCTCCTTGCTCAAGCACCCAGGGAAGGACCGGCAGGCACAGAGCAGCTGGAGGGGAAAACCTGCAGGCCCTGCTGCGTGCTGCTCACAGCTCTGGCGTCACGGGGAGGAGTGCAGTGACTGAATAGTGACCATTGCCTGCCAGGGGCCTGGAAGGAGGAAGCGGTCCACCAGGTATGTGTTCACTTATACGCTTTAGCTCTCTGTGCCTCAGTTTCCTCCTTTTCCCCACTTCTCTAAGGCCTCCTAAGAATGGGCATGAGGAAATGCACTTGCTTAATTTCAAAAGCGAACAGATGCAGTCAGTGCCAAGCAAGCGATTTGCCAACCCTCCAGGAGAAAAATCAGGCTATAACGGGACCAAGTGAAGACTCACATTTTATTATCTATACAGTGAGGATAAAGGTGTCATTCTCTGCCTGCTCCATCCAGGCCCATCTGCTAGGGCTGGGGCTCTTCATCTGTCCTGCCTGGGCAGTGAGAGAGGGCACAAGGGTCAGTGTTCACGACCCGGGCATCCTGCCCGACCTCCCTGCCTTGGGCCTTCAGTTCTGTTTCCGCTCTCCTGCCTTTTCCCAGCCCCACCTGGTGCCTGAGCATCTGCTCTGGTTCTCAAGGGATTCTCCATGAGTGAGAGTCTCCTGGACTCCATTTGCTTGGAATTCTTGGGGTTTGCTAACTTCTCTTATCTTTTCCCCTTAGGGGCCAGAGCTTGTTTCTCAATCTTCAATCATGGTATTTCAGAAGGAAGTGAGATGCTGCTGCCCACCTAAGGACAAGTATCCTTGGCAAATGTCAAAGATTCTTCCTGTCAGAGCCCCCACCCACCTGCCCTAGAGCCCTTGCCAGGCCTGAAGCCAATCTGTTAACTCCCCGAGGGCCCTGGGCCCAGTATTCCTGTCCTGGCAGGCCTTGTAGCCGAGCCCAGAGAATTTCGACAGGAAGCTGGCAAATGCCTTCCATACTGACTTGGTTTTTGGCTTGCTTTGGCATCAACATCCTGTCTGCCCCGTTTCCTATGGAGGGGCAAATTAAGTCCATACCCCAGAGAGTTTGGGAGGAGAGCCGGCCTCACAGAACCCCTTCAGTAGTTATCAGAAAGAGGAAGTGCTGAGCAGCTGGGGACATGAGAGGAGGGAAAGTGAAGTCAAAAGTCTGGAGTGGCTTCTTCCTGACTGAGGTAATGCCTAGCAGTGAGCCCTCTGTAAGGGCAGCTCGGGAGTGGCAGCCCCACCCGAAGTGACCTCCCCAAGTCCGCTCCCCGCTTGTCACCCTCCTCTTGTCCCTTCCATTCGCCGGGACTGAGGAGACCTTTGAACAATACCGTGAAGATCCAGTAGCAGGAAGCGAGTGCTATCCTCTGTGATTCAGCCATGTGAGGGAGCACCGGAACACAGAAAAATGTCCAGAGAGCCAGCCCTAGAGATCAACAGGTTCTATATTCTAGAAAAGCTTGATTTTTATTCCTGTTTTACCAAGTGAATGCTCTTCACGTCATCCCTCTGGTTCTTCCTTTTGTCTAGAGCAGAGTCCCTCTGCCAGGACCCAGGGGCGACTGGGCTGTTGTGGCTTCTCTGTTCTCATCACAAAGGGCAGGGCGCCCGAGGGAATTGACCTCAGGCTTCTTCCCTATACCCACCAGGCCTTGAAGAACCAGACTTCCCTTCAGAGAGAACCCTCAGCTGAGACAGTCTGTCCTCCTCCTCCCCCACTTTCTTTCCTTTCCTTCCCCCAAGGGACACAAAAGTTCACTCTGGAAATACAAGATCCCCTGGAATGGGCGACCCTAGGACCCAGGAGGCAGGCCTTGGGAAAGGAAGTCCTTTCCTGGACAGGCCTATTGCCTCCCACACCACCAGCCTCCCTCTTTCTCCCCCTCTCTCAGCTCCCTTCTTCCCATTTCTTCCTGCCACGGTCTCTCCACACTCCTCTTCCTTCCTTCCCCCGCACCTTTCTTCCCACCCCTCACAGCAGGCAGCAGCACTACACGGGCTGGACATGGACTCAACAGTCACAGGTCAGTAGAGCTCGGCTCGCAGTCCTGCCATGGACCAGCTGTGGGACTCTGGAGGAGTCCTGTCAGCTCCCAGAGCTTGACTGAGGGTCTTTCCTGCCACTGTGGTGAAGACGGGTGAGGTCATGTCTTCTAAGCACTTCACCCGGGGCGGGACACATGGCAGATTCTCAGTGACTGTGAGGGACTCGGACCTGCTGGCACAGGGGGAGCAAGACAGGGATCTTGTTTATAATCTGTGTCATAACGTATGGTAATGATTTATTTCCATAAGCAGTGGAAGGACTTACAAGTAGTTCCTCTGCCAAGCACTCAAGGGCCAGATTTTAAGCACTCCTGCCCACATAAGTCCCAGAGTCAGCTGGTGGCTGGAAGGAGCAGCCACAATTAGGTCCTGCAGCCAAGGGCTTCTCCATGCAGTCTGTCAGGCTCATTGGTTTGCCCAAAGCCTTCCGTTTCTCTCCAGGAAGTGATCTTCACCCTGGGAGGAAAGTACGGGTCTGGCACACTCACCCTTCTGTCTGCAGAGCAGGGCAGGCTCTGGCCCTGCAGGCCTGGGAAGTCACTCAGAGTTACCCACATTGGCTCATCACAGGGTCCTAGCAAACACCTGTGAGAGCTTTGGGCTGGGTGGCAGAGTGGTGTCTCATGGGGCTCCACCTCTGAGTGAGGTAGGGGCACCCTAGGGTGACAGATTGGGGAGGGAGCTGAGAATCATCAGCTTGGGAGAGGAAGGCATGGTGGCGGATAGCTACATCTGCCATGGTGGCATTAGCGGGCCGAAGCAGTGCAGCTTTCAGTCTCCTGCTCTCCCTGGGTGAGCCGACCTTGGTGGGCTCTGAGCAGCCTGTCTGCCTCCCTCTGTTCCTGTAGGCTGGGCTCTGCCCTGGCCCAGAAAGAGCTCTCAGATGCTCTTGCTCTGCCACCAGGACCCCTGAGGGAAGATGCGCTGGTTCATCACCACATCCCTCCCGGAAGGAGAGCCGAGCAGCTCCAGAACTGCACCAGGCCCACGGATGGCAAGAGCGGGTACCACACCATGATAAACCTATTCATCATGCATCACAAACAGGTACTAAAAAAAAAAGGGACTCAGTACCAGAAAAACAAAGTTTCTTTCACATTAATGTATCAATTTAAGTAAGAAATTTCCAAAAATTTTTTTCCCTTTGGGAATGAGATCTCATTAAGTTTTCCAGGCTGGCCTTAAACTCAGAATTCTCCTGCCTCAGCCTCCCAAGTAGATGGGATTGCAAGTGTGTGCCAAACCTTTAAGGACTGATCCAAAAAACCATATGAAAGCAAAAAGGCCAAAAAATGGCTGAAGCGATTTTGAAGAACAAGGAAAGACTCACCCCGCCAGCCCTTACAAACTCTCAGTAGGACCCTTACGTTAAGGAGTTTGTGTAGGAATAGACAAGCAGGCACTGGAACAGAACAGCGAGCCTGGAGAGAAGCCGACATGGATCTGAATAATGCTGAGGGGAAAACACATTGTAATTTCATATCTATAGGATGAGACAATACCAAGTTAAGATGCTTAACATGCAAAACAGTAAAAAACATCATTTAGAAATATATGCCCTTGTGGTAAACACATAAAAACATGCATGAGAGTGATGAACGCTCAGTTTAGAAGGAAAGGGAATGGATTCCTTTGCAGTACAGAAGTGTATTAACTCTAATGTCCTAGAAGAAAGAAGAAAAATCTCTGAGGCAAACAGGACAAATGATAGATGTGTCAAAGCTGGGCATGAGTATGTGAGTGTTTGCTGTGCATACTTTATCACCTTGGGTTTGAAATATTAGAGAGGAAAATCTCCATGTCCTCGGTCCAGAGCATTCCCCCAAGGCATGAGGGTGGCCTGAGAGGCAAAGGGCAGAGGTGTGTGTGTGTGCTCCTCATGTATGATGACCAGTGACTTCACAATCATTCAGTCAGCTCCAGCTAAGTGTCACGCACTGGAAACAAAAACAGTGAAGATCTGACCCTTCTTCATCACAGCAGACAGGTCATACAGTGATAAATGCTGAAACTGAGGTGTGTTTGGAAGGCTCATTTGCTCTGCCAAGAGTATGGGTGCAGGGAAAGCATGGGCTTTGAAGGGTGTGTAGGAGTTTGCAAGGCACAGAGGATGAAGAGAGTATGTGTGAAAGAAACAAAATGTGGCATGTTGTGGGCTGGAGGACAGTGTGCAGACTGCCATGGACTTTGGAGAGAAGCTTCTGGCAGTGTACAGGGCAGAAAAAAGTGATCGTTGCAAGCAAGGAGACCGATCAGGAAGCTGCAGAATACGTTTGCATGAGAGGTGATGAAAACCTCAACTAAGGCAGAGTGATTTTGATTACTGGTCAGCTTTTTGTATCTGCGGGTTTGCACCTGCAGCTATCCAACTTTGGTCAGAAACATTTGGGGAAAGATATGTCCCTACTGAATATGTACACCTTTGGAGGCCACAATTTCCTAAAGAATACAGTATTGCTATGATTTACAGAGCAGTTACTCTGTATTAGGCATTGTAAGTAATCGGGAGATGATTTAAAATGCTCAGGGACATGTGGCTAGGCTCTATGCAAACATTACACTGTTTGTGTAAGGGACGTGAGCACCCTCAGTTTTGGTTTCTGAGAGATCCCTGGCACCAGTTCTGAGGGGTAACTATAGTTTTCCTGCAAAACCACACATTCCTGAGGGAGGGCCAATGGCTTAATCAAATCTGGTTTATCTCTGTTGGGTTTTGTTTAATCAGGTTGTATTTATCTCCCTACAGCACCCATAGGAGTTCCCTGCCTAGAGTGGGAGCTCAGTAAACACAAGTTTCTGGGAGGGAGGAAGGAAGCAGCTCAGGGTCCCACCCCCTCTTTTTACAGATAAGAAAGCAGCGGGAGAGGGAGTGATGTTGTCAAGGACATCTTTCACAGGAAGCTTGCTGTCTCTCCAAAACAGCCAAGAGTCCTCCAACCTCCAGCTGACAAATCTGCAAGCGCACGCACTTTTCATGCAAAGACTTTGCTGGTGCAGGGTCCAGTTATAAGAAAACCTGTTATAAAGTTACGTTCTTGTGGCTCACGCCTGTAATCCTGGCATTCTGGTTGCCTGAGGCAGGAGGATGGCAAGCTCCAGCCCAGCCTGAGCAATTGCCAAGGCCCTGTCTCAGAATATAAAGTACAGAATTTAAAAAGGGCTGAGGATATCACTCTGGGTGAAGGCCCTGAGTTCAGTCCTCAGTACCGCCACCAAAAAATAAATACATAAAAATTGCTCTCTATGAGGAAGTTCTTTCCTCTCCCCTCAGGCAGAAAGAGTTTCTGTATTAAGAGGCTGAACTGTATGTGATGAATAATACGAAACAATATGTCCTTTACCTGGCCTCCCTCCAATCACCAGGCTCTATCCAGGCAGCTCTGAAAGCATCTGATCTCGTGCTGTTGGCACTGTGGGCAGGGCAAGGCCAGCTGCAGCTGAGGAACTTTACAAGTCTTTTGTTCCGCCACTGTGAACTTGATGATCCTCTACCTTAATGTGGTAAACTTGCAGCCACCCGAACACAGTTCACCTAAGCTAACCAAGTGCGCACAAAGCCAAACACCCCCCAGAGCGCACTCAGGTGTGAGCATCCTGGCACCCATCCTCTCTGTGTTTCCTTTCGTCTCCCAGAGAGACACAAGCGCTGTGGTCCAAGGCTCCTCCAGCCCCTGGGCTAGATCCGCCGCCTACCATCTCCTGTGGCATTCACTTCTTTCGGGGGTTGACCTGCTCTGTGCTTCAGCTTCTCCCCTCACGTGGCTCTTTCTTCCAGTATCTGAGAGAGGCCAGCAGCCCGGAAAGGAAAATGCCAAAAAGCATTCTGTGTTCAGCTTCTTCCCACACTCCCTGTCTCCTTTGTGAGATTCTGCAAACAGCCATCTGTCCTTGCTGGTCTCACTTCCTGTTCACCTCTCAGCCCGCCCAGAGAGCCTGCATTTCCTCTTCCTCTAGGTGTAAGAGAATAGGTGAAGATAGAAGCTGACACTTAGTGTGTGCTTCCTGTGGACCAAGCGTGTTCAAAGCATTCTACATTATTATCCCCGGCTGTCATGTAAGTGCTAGTGGATTTACCTTTTGCAGAGGTGGGAAGTGAGGCTTTGAGCAGTGGAGTATTTGCCCTTCACCACCAGGACTTGAGAAAAGACTGCTCTCTGTTAAAATTCTTTTGTTTCCTCCTCTCTTTTGTAGCATCTTTGTTGAAGCATCTTTGTTGAAGGAAAAAATACACAAAAAGATGACGTTTCCTTGTTCTATTTGTTCATTATGTTCATACTATCTAAGGTTCTATCATGTTGAAAGTAGAGAAAAAAGAGACATGAATCTGCCATCAAGATGCTCAGGGTCCAAAAGAGGAGATGGAACAGTAATATGGTGTGGGAAGAGCTCTGGGAAATTGGATGCACGGAGCTAGGGACACCCAGAGGAAACAGTTTACTTTGCTTCTAGCAATAGATTCCAACTTTTGCTGTGCACTGGAATCAACTGCGATTTTTAAAAATTACTGATGCCTGCACCCATCTGGAGATGTTATGATTCTATTGGCACTGGAGATTTTTTAAATTCCCCAGGTCATTCCAGTATTCAGCAAAATTTAGGAAATGCTGGCTTTAAGGCTGATATGCGAGAGGTTGACTTGCAAGTAAAACAAAGTCAAACTCAAAGAGTAAAGCAGAGCAAAACAGAGCTGAGGGAGGGGTGCCATGTATTAGATTACATTTAAAAATAGGCAAAGAGTATATCACTCTTCGTAGCATTGAATGCAGTGAGGATTTGCTTTTTCCCCTAAGTCCAGTCTCAGGATCCCTTTATTTGCAAGAGGCAGGCGTTCATTCTGTGTCTCATTTCTTCACATCCAGTGCAAAGAAGTGCGATATCCTCCAAGCTCAAACCACAGTCCCGGGCTGCTTGCACTGGGTCTTCCATGGGCCTGGACCATTTCCTGGGCTCAGAGGCTGGTTGGCTTAACACAGGTCATGTGCCTCATCTCTGGGCCCAGGAAAGAGGTGGCTTACCCAATAATCCACATGGTGCCGAGTGGCGCACTTCTGACAGATCCTCCATGTTCTGGGTGACGAGGGTAAGGAGATGGTCAGGGCTAGGTGGTGGAGCTTAACTGTGTTTTCTTGTAGGTAGAGGTATTTAAATAAGAAAATGACACAACCACTTTTATATTTTAAGATATAACACATAACTCTGACCATGTTAGAACAGATATAGGTGAATAAAAAGAAAAGTGATTGTAGTTATTCAAAGAAGAGATACTGGGCACCTAAGTCAGGTTACAATAGAAGTTGTAACAGAATATCAAATACTGGCTAATTTATAAGGACAAATTTATTTTTCATAGTTCCAGAAGCTGCAAAGTCCAATGTCGAGGTGACGGTATCTGTCGAGGGCTTTCCTGCCTTGATCTTGTGGTGGAAGGTGAAGGGTGGGAGAGAGCAAGAGGGGACCAAAGGCGCTTGTATAACAACCTGCTCTAGGATAACAAACCCACTCTTGTGATACTGACATTCATCTGTTCATGGGGGCAGAGTCCTTATGACCTAATCGCCTCCAAATGTCCTGACTCTCAACACCATTGCACTGGATACTCAACTTCCAACACATCACCTTAGGGGACTCATCCTAACCATAGCCGATGTCTTGAAAACAAGTAGGAAGCAAGGTCCAATACAAATGAATCTAGAATTCAGGTTGAGAGCAGGAAGTCACTGGTGTCCATCTGACAGTGCGGCGGGAAGGGTGGATGTGACCACCGAGGAGAGATGGAGAGGGAGAGGAGTAGCAAGCAGAGCTTCTACAGTGGGAAGCTGGGGCAGACAAGTGGCCTTGGGAGACAAAGGAGGGGCTGTGGTCATCAGTGTCCCATGGTGAAAGGAAAGGGAAGAGGATAGAGGCTGAAAGTGAACATGGATTTGACCACTGGGAGCCAGATTCTAGGGCTTTGGATGAGTTGGGACTGAGAGTGCAGAGAAAGGGCGGGTGGATCATCACTGAAATACGAGGCAGAGAAGTGGCTCAAGGAGATATGTCCAGTAATTTCTATATGTTTGTTTTGTAGCTTCTGTATTAGCTTTGTTTTTGTTTCCTTTTAAAAGGTGGGTTCTGTTTGTTGGATAAGAGAAATCCGACCATGAGTAAAGCTACCAGGAAAACCTAAGAGAGAAAAAGGCGAAAGATAAACGATAATGATTTTCCATAGAGACAGAAAGCAGATTAACAGCTGTCAGAGGCCAGCAGGACAGGGAATGGGAGTGACTATGTAATAGAGGTGGAGTTTCCTTTGGAGTGATAAAAATGTTCTAGAACGAGATAATGGTGATGGCTGAGCTACCTCATGAATTTATAGAATACCACTACATTTTATACTTTGAAATGGCTGAAGTGACAAACATTTTAAAATATGTATTTCAACACACACACACAAATAGTGATCTTATTAAATGCTATCTTGAGTTTTGTATGTTTCACTTAATTTAGCCATCATAACTTTATGGTAACTTTTAACAGCTTTACTACCTTCATTTTATGTAAGACAAGACTGAGGTTTGGAAAGAATCATTAATCTAAGGTTGTAGGACCCAGTTTGTGATTCCAACTCATGTGGCTTTAACTACAAAGCCCAACCTCTTAACCACTCTCTCATCCTGCCTCTATCCCTACATTATTTTACAGATATATACACTGGTAATGTGAATTGAATCATACCTGCCGATATATTAGCATTGTGTTTTTATAACAAAATACTTGAGATAATCAACTTTAAAAGATAAAAGTTTCATTTTGACTCATAGTTTTCAAGATTTTGGTCCAAGGTTGGTCAGCCTCACTGCTTTTAGGTCTGTGGTAAGTTAGCAGATCACGGCAGCAGTGTGTGCTAGAGGAATCTGTTCACTACGTGGCAACCAGGAAGCAAAAGAGGGCTTGCTTGCTGTGTTAATGGAGTGAATATCGGGATGACGGGACTTTCTTCTTTCTTTCTTTCTTTCTTTCTTTCTTTCTTTCTTTCTTTCTTTCTTTCTTTCTTTCTTTCTTTCTTTCCTTCCTTCCTTCCTTCCTTCCTTCCTTCCTTCTTTCTTTCTTTTTTTCTTTCTTCTTTTTTTTCCTTCCTTCCTTCCTTCCTTCCTGTCTTTCTTTCTTTCTTCCTCAGTACTGTGACTCAAACGCAGGTGTACTCTACCACTGAGCTACATCCTCCGCCTTTTTTATTTTTTATTTTAAGACAGGGTTTCAGTGCATTTCCCAGGCTGGCCTCAAACTTATACCCTTCTTGGGATTACAAGCATATACCTCCCTGCCCAGATTGTATTTTTTATATTATTCTTTTTTTATCTTTTTAATGGGCCACAGCTTTGATTAAAAATATTACAGCTTATTTTAATGTAAGGAAGAAAAAGATTTTAGAGATAGGGTGGTTCTCTGAAGATGTTATAGGCACATAAGAAACAAGCAGAGAGGATGTGAAAATATACAGGGCCATGGGTGAGTGTGTTTGCAAAATGTGGAAGGAGCAGGAACCACTGTAATAAGGAAGCCTTCTCCCTGTGGTGACCCGTAACACAGACGGGAAGGGAGCGCCGGTCACCACTGGGTGGAGAGGAGGAGGGAGGCTCCTGGGAATGAGAGCACCACTCAGGAAGGCTGAGCCCAGGAGGGATGGAGAGACAGGCCGGACCCAGTCAGCTGTGCTTCATGCCCTTCCTTTCCTGATCCTCCCTTGGTCCAGTTCTTCCTTCTCTGCCCAGAGTGAACCATGCGGTATGAACCTGCTTTGCTCCACGTTGTCCACAGGGCAGCACAGCCTTGTTCCAAGCTGGTTCTCTCGGTCCTCAGGGAAACAGAAAACCTCGAGGGCTGGCCTCTCAGCATTCTTCGAAGGCCGCTGGGGCCCATGCCTTCCCGCTTTGTTCTGGGATCTTGTGACTCTCGGGCACTCACCCAGGGCAGCTCTCACTCAATCGCTTCTTTGATTTTCACCGGTTGGACTGTCAAGGATTGTTGGCTTGCAAGAGGGTGCTGCGTGGTAGACTGCAGAGAAACAACTATTGCATTTCGCTCCACTCCAAGTAAAGTTTCTTTTCAGATTTGCCTGTATACCGGTGTCAGCCGCCTTCGCTGTGGACATTGCCCAAACCAGTTCCCCCAGTAAGCCACTGGCCTGAGGACTGGCCGGTCCATAGTTCTTTCCGCCTTTCTTGGTGTTTTTCCTTCTTTGGGGAGATGGGTTACACTTTTTTGTTGTTTTTGTCATTCCTTTTGTTTTTGTCATCTTAAACTTATATGTTTAAGAGTCTTTCCTATGACTATATATTATTGAATTTGCAGTACTTTTATAGTCAGTGAGACATGTGCTTGTGATTAGTTTCAGAGAAATAAAGTAACTACTACTTTAGGCTCAGCAGAGGGATGGATGGCTTTGTATCCTAGTTCCACCAATTACCGACAGCATTTAACTCTTCAGTCTTGGTTTCCCCAGTGTTAGACGGGGTTAGAAATGGCCTCGTATGGCGGAGTTGTGAAGATGAATAAGGTAATACATGGGTCTGTTGTACGGTCACAAGAAGGGGCATTTTATTCACTTATTGTATCAGTTCGGGAAGCCTGATCATTGACAGAATATAGGGTTCACCCAGTTATGGGGCTGGCTAAAAGTCCTGTAGAAGGCTGTTGCCTCCGTGTCCACGACTGAGTCATTAGCTGCACCAGAGCTATAGGACTGGCAGCCAAGTAGAAGCCAAATGTGCGGTGGGGTGAATCGAAAGCAAACTGGAACTCAAACTGGAGCCCCTAAGGTGGTGGAATTCATGTTATTTCTCAGCACCTCTAACCTTGACAATGCAGCTATCCTTAGAAGCAGCTACACCTTTCATCTGGCCTGGCCTCAGGAGCAGAATCTGCAAGAGTTGGAGGAACCAGAAGTCTGGCTGTGCTCCACACCAACACACAGGGGCTGCAAGAGTTCAGCTGTACTGACCTTCAGTACAAGGTGGC